GTAATAAATCATTTGCAATGCATATCTATAATAAATTATTTGCGATGTATTTCTATAATAAATTATTTACAATGCATTTTTATAATAAATCATTTGCAATACATTTTATAATAAATTATTTGAAATTCATTTCTATAATAAATCATTTGCAATGCATTTCTACAATGAATAATTTAAAAAGTATTTTTGTTATGCATTATAGATTTCTAATGTTTTTTTTTTATCTATTAAATTATAATTTTACAGACCCTATTATGAATGCCAACGTGCAGGTATTTCTAATTGAGCCTCACCTTTGACAATATCTCTCAATTTGGCTGTGATGCATGTGTTTGGTATACCTTTATTATACTGGATGTCATGATATGTACTTTGGTCTTTATACGTTTGTACTCTATCTATTTTGTTGGCATTCTGATCTATCACTCAATAATAATTTGGCTGTTAATGATTTTCTTCTGTTATTGAGGGTCAGGGAGATGTTGATGAAGATTTTTTTTTTTGTCAACGGAGACATTTTGATTGTTTTGATTATTATTTGCATCTAAGTGTAATGCCGTCTTCCGGTTTACAGGGGGGGTAAAACCCCTCCTCTTTGCAAATGAGTCAACAGACTGTCCCCTACACCCTCCTCTGTTCCGCGCTCCCTTCACCCTACTCAATCAGCCACACCCTAACCCAGCTTTTTCTCAGCCTCGCTCTTCTTAAGTGTATTATTTTATTTCTTGTTGCTTTTTTTTACGTCTTTTCTCTATTCTTCTTTATTATACGCCATTCGGTCAAAGCTGTTGTCACACGCATGCGCAATAAGGAACAGAATACCATTCACACGCACAAACATGCTCTCTCATAAACACACACACACACACACACACACACACACACACACACACACACACACACACACACACTAAATAAGTGTTTTTAGAAAATAGAGATGAAAAGGTTGGAAAGTGCTTATAAATGAATCGATGTTTTTTGTGTGTTTCTTGCTTTTCCACCTTTCCTCTCCTCTCTCTCTCTCTTTCTCTCTCACCCTATATATATATATATATATATATATATATATAATATATATATATATATATATATATATATATATATATATATATATATGTATATACATATATACATTGAACGTACGCAATCTTCAGGCCAAGTGAAACAGATTGTCGGCGCACGGCGTCGGCACCGATACTAAATTATTTTTAACTTAATATAAAAATTATAACCGTTCGAAATTATTTTTTAACTTAATATAAAAATAGCCAAAATGAGAAAATCGGCTGAAAGCGCCTAACGAGTGGACGGCGCAACTACAAAAATGTTCGGGGATGTTGAATATA